GGGGGACACGTGAGCGGGCGGCGAGTCCCTGGCTCCGCAGGGTGCTTTCGAGGTGCCCCCGCGGTGGTGCAGGGGGCTTCCCCCGCTCAGGCCGCGCAGCTGCGGCGGGTGCTCCTGGCGCCGTTCAGCCTGAACCCCCGCGGCCCGAACCTGGAAGCTCGCTAGCCCTGGGCGGGGGGTTCATGCACGGCCGTTATTCCTCTGTTCTGTCGTTTTGCTTTATAAACCCACACGAATCTCACGGTGCAGCTCACATTCCTGTTCCATCAAAAAGTGCAACTCAAACCACGGAGGAACAAAGAGCCTTTTGCAAACCAGCACGTTGCTGCGAGAGGGGAAAAGAAAGGCAGAGAGTTGTGTTTCCTCCACCCTTTGCTAGCTGCAAGATCGCATTCCCTTCTTCACCTACGCCTGTCCCACCAAGTGATAACAGCTCCCAGCTCAAAATCAGTTGTCCTCACTCCTTTGGTCACACCCAGGCATGCGCATGCACACACACACACATGCGCACACACATTTGTGCACACACACACACACAAGTAAAGCTGGTGGCAGGGCAGTGGGGCCCAGGGCGATGCTGCCCAAGAGTGACATCAGGAGCCTGGAGAAGGGACCATATTGCTGTAGCAACCAGGATGCCCTGGGCTTGCGGAAGAAAAGTATCCGATGCTCATTTTCAGTCTGGAGCTGCGCTTACCTGCTCCTGGTCCTAGCCCACCGCATGTCAGTGATCGCGCTCGGCTGTGTTTGCAGAAAGCCTTATCTGGCCTTTGCTCTGTTAAAGGGCAGGGCAGCATCTGCCTAGAAATTTGCCTACGAGTTAGATGTAGCCAAATTCTGTCCCCACGTCCCTTCAAACGCTGTCCGGTAGCATCTGGCAGTACGACGCTGTTGCGTGGCAGCTGGAAGTAGTCGAGAAGTTGAAACGCAGGGCAGGCGGGCGAAGCTCGCTTCTCTTCTGCTTTGCTGCTTCCCTCGGAGGCACTTCTGGATTTTATTTTGCAGGAGGCAATGATGTGGCTGGGAAGCTAGAGAAAGCGCAAGCGCCTGCGTTGTCCAGCTGCTTTTGGGGACTGCTTATGAGACGGAGAAGGTGTCCTGGGGTGATTTCGCGGCTGAAACTGCAGGGGTTCTTTTAGGATTTATAACCTGGTCCGCGGAAAGTTTGAAAACTGCGGATGCTCCTCATTCTGCTCTTTGTGCGGAGGGGGCCCCGTCACAGCGAGGCGCCGTTGGGCTCGTTCCTCGCTGCCTGAGACAGCGAGCGACAGCAGCGCGGCGTCCCCCCGGGGCGCCAGCCCGCCCGCC